GAAGTAGGGTTTCCAGGTTTGCTTACCGCTACAAACGAGTTTTTCGGAGCCATCTTCCGTCATCCCGAAGAGAACTTGACGGTATCTCCGGCAGGCTGGGGAAGACAAGAAGAAGTACAAGTCTTTCAAAGTTTTCGGACTTCTCAAATCTTTGATCGCGATGATTTCCATGGACTTCTTCATGCGTTCAAAGGGCACCTCGACATCATCTTCGACGGATGTTTCCCCCATGATTCCTTGCCATACCTTGAAAACTGAATAAATTGATGATCTTCTCCGAAGATGAAGATGCGAGTCTCTCAGAAAGTAGGGAACGGGGGACAAACTTTGAATTCGCAACGCATGGCGCCATTTCTACACTTTCTCAGGTATTTTCTGAGAATCCGGTCCTTGATTCTCCTATAGGTGAAGAGCTCCTGCGGAGGGGGTGGATGCTCGTGTTCACCTCGCACCCATGCCACGATCATGTCCTCGCACTTAGCCGTAACCTCTCAGCCCTGCGGTGGAATTTGCTTCGTGCAAATCTCATTCATGACGCACCTTGTACGTTTCGAATGCGCGGTACTCACCTTCCGGGCGCACCTAAAATAATAACGAACCCCGCAGGGAGGGGTGTCCACACGATTCTTTAGGAAGAGCAGATATCCGCTCGGACATCTGTAATTTTGGCGGCCGAATCTCCGCCCCAACGTTTGCACCATCATTGGTTCGAGCTCTCTCTCTTCGGGGTTTGCTTGGAAAGGAGAAAGGCGCGGAGGTCTGTGGTTGTGGATCGTCTGCGCAATCAACGAAACGCGAGTTCGGATGAATTTCAAGAACGCCAAGTCCGGACTAAAAATCACTCTCACGGGGCATCCACGACTTGCTCGAGCGGCTGAGCAGGTGAACCGGATTCCAGATCTGCGAGGAAGCGATCTATATCTTTGAATACACCGTTCTTCTGGACGACAAATGTTGAAGTTCGAGTTGCTGCTTGCCTTGAACGCACTCCCACAAGTCGGAAGACATTGATGCATCTAGGAGAGATAATTGCATGCATTGGAGACCTCATTCTGGGAAGACAGATAGCCCTGGTCATATCGGAGGTTAGACTACCGCGATAAATACGAGGGAGAGCGTTAAGCTGCTTAAGTGCCTACTCCAGACGTTTTCCTGCGCTAGACTCCTCCGAAGTCGCTTCTGACTCCCTGGGAATATTGAAATCCACGTAGAGTCCGCCCGATCTCAGTAGCGGATCTCCACAAACAAGCTCTCTCTTTCAGATTCTTCCAGCTGGCGGCGTGTCCTAGAGTGAAATGTCCCAGAAAGGGGGACTTCGCTTTGAAATTTTTCGATGGCTTCTCGGATTCTTTGCTGGAAGTCCACGAACGAAGTCCCTTTCTGAATCCTCCCGGTGCCTTCTCGATTTTTTTGCCGGGAGTTTACGAGTGAAGTCCTCTTTTTTCTGTATCATTTTGGAGCCTTATCGAAAATTATTCGCTGAGAGTCCACGAGCGAAGGCTTACTGTGGGACATTTTGATGTATTCTCGAATTCTTCGCTGAAAGTCTACCAGCAAAGTCCCACTGTGGCACATTTTGATGTTTTCTCGAACTCTTTGCTGAAAGTCTGCCAGTGAAGCCTTGTTCTTGGACGTGTCGATGTCTTTTCGGATTCTTTGCTGGAAGTCCACGAGCGGAATCACATTCTGGTACATTCCAATGTCTTCCCGAGTTCTTTGCCGGCAGTCCACGAGCGGAATCACGATCTGGTACATTCCGATGTGTCTCCTCGAATTCTTTGCCGGAAGTCCCTTTCTGGGACATTTCGATATCCCAGTCATATTCGACCAGCCGTCCTGATACGAAGGTCCCCCAAAGTTCGTCGGACCCCATCACCCCATCGGAACGGCTTGGTGTAAACGAGCTTTAGTCTCTGAAACTGGGCGTCGCGGCTCCCCTCTCTGAGACTGTGCGTCGCGTCACGGATATTCATGGCACCGAAAGGCTGCTGGAAGAGATCTATGAGAGTCACTTGTCATTTGCTCACCGGTTGCGTTCGATCCATAGCTTGATCTACCATCGTCGAATTCCCCCTCTGATGCTCCCGGACATCTTCTTCTCAGATCTCGAGGTGAGTTTTCCATGCTCGCGGCGGAATGCGAATCGTGCATCGGCGCGGGGCAGTCATTGGTAATCGTAGGTATGGTAGCCCCTAACTCACTGAAAATGCATCAACTCCATGATGATGAACCAAAATCAAGCCAAGAAATGGAGATCGTAGGTAGTCCTCACTCAAGCGAGGAAACTGAGACTTTGGGCACAGCACAGTCAAGCGGAGGAACCAAGGACACGTAAGAACGATTTTTTCGAGAATATTCAGTAATGTGGAAAAAGTAGCCTGTTCAGGGATTCTAGGAGAAGCCGAATCTATCTGCAAGGGCGGAATCGCACCGAAGAAAGGTAGCTAGCTAAATGGACGAGTTCAATTGCACGAATCCGGCCCCACTTCCATATCTAAAGGCTGCTTGAGGTCAAGAGCACGAGCATGGTTCTGGCTACGCGCGCCGAGAGACCCAATATCCGTCTCTGACGACTTCCTCCCTCCCAAGGTCATCGGACTATGTTTTCGAGCCCCGCTTCTCGCAATCATCAGACCAACTTTTTTCATGGAACGAAAAGGATTTGTTCTTCCAAAGAAAACGCCTGCTGAGGTCGGCGAGGAAGACGCTCCTACCTGGTCCGCCGGAGGCTGGAGATTTCATCCGGGAGCTGAAAAAGGGAAAGAGATTCAACTGCGGCCTTCTAGTCGCAATTCTGAAGAAGGAGCCTCAGAAGCTGACATCCTTTAACTTGTTTCAGGTTGGGTCACTATTGAACTGAATTGGAGTTTTTTCGCCGCCACTCGCGCGCAGGGTCGCTCTACACCCCCCCCCCCCCGAATTGTTTCCGTTATCCGCCTGGGCAAGCGAAGCTTGGCAATTAACTGTTTCCTCCTTCAGTCAGTAACGGCTGTTGACTCATTTATAGGGAACGATTGCTCCCCAAGTCAGCTGCGTGACACCCATCTGCAGTTTCTGTTTGAAGATGCCGGGGTTCCGGCGGTCGGCCCTAACCTCTAAAGGGATGAAAAAGGCTGCCGAAGCCTTGCGAAAGCATTTCACCCGCGTACACGGGAATGACGAGGCGGCCATCGGGATCATGGGGAAAACAGCGGCGACGCAGTTCTCAGAGCCCCCGAGCGACGTGGACGGGTGGCTGAAGGCTGTCTTCGAGATATGGAGAAGTCGGTAAGTTCGTCAGCAAGGCTAATGACTCATGATTCACGCAATCCCAAGTATCCTGCGGTGCTGAAAGTTTTCCTCCCCATTTCAGAGACTCGCGAAAAAACAAATTGGCTCAATTAAGATATATAGCCGAAAAGGCCACAGTTTGATGGGAATATAAATCTGGAACGTTCCGTCATATTCGCTGGATATGTAATGAGCTGCCGAAGGCGGCTTCCTTCACCCCAACACTCGAGCCTATTGGGTCGAATAGATACTCATATGTCTTCTCAAATTATTAGCTGAAAGTCTGCGAGCGAAGTCCCACCCTGGGGAATCTCGATGCATTCTCGAATTAGTTGCTGAAAGTCTATGAGCGAAGTTCCTTCCTGAATCATTTCGATGCCTCCTCGAGTTATTCGGTGAAAGTCTACGAGCGAAATCCCACTCCGGGACATTCCGATGCATTCTCAAGTTCTTTGCTGAAAGTCTACGAGCGAAGTCACTTCCTGAATCATTTCGATGCCTTCTCGAGTTCTTCGCTGGAAGTCTACGAGCGAAATCCCACTCTGGGACATTGCGATGCATTCTCGAATTGTTTGCTGAGAGTCTACGAGCGAAGTCCCACTCTGGGACATTCCGATGCATTCCCGAATTACTCGCGGGAAGTCTTCGAGCGGAGTCCAACTCTGATCATTTCGACGCCCCCTCACCCACTTCCTATGCCTCCGCCTAATTCAGCACCATCCCGTAGCGTTCAAAATAGGGCAGACATTTTCGGATCAAAAATTAACTGGAGGGGATGCCATCGAATCCGATAGAGAGCTTCGTTACTCGCCTGGCTGAAAGACTCGTTTTAAGTTAAAGTCCAAGTCGAATATGGAATTGAGTGTCCAAGAGATCCCGTCAGCCAGGAAGAATCCTCTCTTCCGGGTCAATGAATTCATGTACGAGGTCGATAAAAGGAAGGAAGAAAAATATTTTTGTCGGTGCATTAAGAAGAAGACCGAGAGTTGTTCCGCCAGGGTGGTGATAGTCAAGGTTTGAGTCAGTCCCTTACGAGCGGGTCTTATAGCGGGTTGTAGATATCGAGAAATCATTTATCCGTGTACTCGTCCGTGCCATCTTTCCCTTGAAAGGACACCGAGCCGGTAGTCTCTCGGCAAACTGGAACTCACAATCATGGTGCAGAGCGAAATGATCGCATAAGGCGAGACGCCAGGCTTGCCATGAAAAATGCGATTATTCGCCAGCCGGAGAAATCGTGCAAGCAAGTCTATGACGAAGTTCTGTCCGATGCTGTCTTGAAAAGACGTTCCATCCACGATCCCGAAGAGCTTGGGGCTGCCTTGCCCAGTTTCGATAGCGTTCGGAGTGCCCTGCAGCGACATCGGGCGCAGATTCGCCCGGAGTTGCCAGCGTCTTTGTCGGAGATCAGCTTGGAGGGTTAATGGACGGAAACCTTGGAGGGCGAGGCCTTCCTACTCTTTGATCAAGGATCGTCCGATAGAATTCTGGGATTCGCTTCCCGCGATTCGATAAGGATCCTCTGCGAAGCTCCCGCCATCTACATGGATGGAACTTTCCGTGTGGTGCCTCGAATCTCCCTCCAGCTGTATACCATCCATGCGTTTTGCAAAGGGCAAATGCTGCTTGTTTACTTCCTGCTGCCTGACAAATCGCGGAATACTTATAGTCGAGCATTCACACTGTTGAAAGAATATGCCGTATCGATTGGAAAAGTTTTCCAACCTGCCATGGTACGATTGGACTTCGAAACAGCGGTTCTGAAAGCACTGGAAGAGAGCTTCTCGACAGCGGAAGTGAAAGGATGTAACTTTCACTTCTGTCAGGCACTGTGGAGGAAGGCTCAGCAGCTCGGCCTGCAATCCTTCTACGACGACTGCGCCGTCCGGAGGTTAGGATTCACATGATCAGGAGTCGGATCCGTGCTGTAAGTCCTCTTACAATCAGATTTTAAAATCCGATGAATCTTACTTAGGTTCCTGAGATGCGTTTCCGCGCTGAGCTTGGGGCCCCTCAATTAAGTCGATGAAGCTTGGTTGCAAATCGACAGCGATTCGCCGAGCAGCGAGTACCCCGCCTATCAGGCTCTCGATCAATTCAAGACCTACTTCATAGACACTTGGTTGGAAAATGAAAGCGTCTTCTCACGCCGGCTGTGGAACAATTTCAGGTATAGGTCCCGAAAATATTGAGCCCCGAGGAAGGACGACTCTGGTCAATGGTTCGAATAGGCTGATTTCAATCAACAGGAACTTTGAAACACGGACGACCAATCACACCGAGGGCTGGCATAAGGCGCTGAACAATAGCGTGCAGAAGAGTCACGTCAATCTTTTTGAGATGATAACCCGTCTCAAACGTCAGGAGCAAAAAAACAAGATCCAGCGAATGCTCCTTGACATGGGCGAGCGGCCGAGACCGATGCGTAAGAAATACCGACTCCTCAATGAGCGCCTAGTGCGCCTCGTGGATGAGCTTGAATCCGAGGAAACATCACTGATCGACTACGTTCGGCGTGCCGCACACAGCCTGTACGCCGACTAATACTCTAATCAGATAATGCTAGCCGACAAGCGTGATTACTTCCAGAAGCTACCTCACGAGGTTGTGAGGTAGAACGATGGTAAATTGGAATCACTCGCGCGATAAATCGTCGTCGGCTCGTCAAAAGGTGTCTTTGTTCCTATTTTTATCACGCGGGCAGACTCAGGTCAGCGCTTCTACCAGACCATGCAACCCAAACTCCAAACCCTCCAACTTAGCGGGACTGTTTGAGAGAGGGGGGTCCGACTCAGCGTTCGGGCCAATGGGTATTCGGGCTGATGGGTGCACACCAGTCCGATCTGAACTCCTTCGTCTCCTTCGTCTGTCTAAGGGGGCTGAACCCTAAGTAGATCACCCTAGGTAATCAAGCATCCTCTCAGAGGATAGCTCTCCCCCTCTATACTAGATCTGTATTTAAGCAGCGCCTAGATAGAAATAAACGACGAGCACTGTAACTGAATCCCCGAGCTGCTACTCTGCGTCTCACTGCGTGATCAAAGTCCCTGAGCTGGTTCCGAGCCAAGTTTCCCCAGAACCTGCGATCGACAGCTCCAGGTTTGTCACGTAATCAGCACTTTTAGCTCTACAAAACAGAAGTTTTTTAAGATACAGCATTCAGGAAGATTGAATCACAACTACGTTCGGTGAGTACCAGTAGTGCAAGGAGGGATCGTCGTCGAGAGTGGGTGCTACTATTGGGCATGATCACTAAGTGCTGAGTCCCGAAGGGGACAGGGGTCCCCTCTTCCAAAGGTAGCACTCCGACTCGAGGAGAACAACGGAGCCCATCTGCCGAGAATTTTCATCTGCCTCCTTACTCTTTCAACAACACCGACGTAGACCTCATATTCTGAGAAAGCAAACTACCACGAAACCATCATCACCCCTGATCTGGTCTGCCAATTGGATGCGAAGAACTCCTGAAATCCTTCACGATGCGAACGCCGGCTTTCGACGCGAGAGCCACTATGGCCTCTCTGGTGCTTCTGGCCGCTTGCGGAGTTTCGGCCCAGGAGACAGAATCCGTGAAAACCTACTCCAACGAATTCGTGGTGAAAATGCCAGGGAAGACACCTGACGAAGTGAGACAGCTCGCGGAGGAGCATGGATACACATACTTGGCGCCGATGAATTTCGACGATCTTCATCACGTCCGACACAGACGCTTGGCGCGTCGATCGCTCGATTCGCATCCAGATAGCTCGGCCGAACCTTGGCACGAGAGAATACAACAAGAAGTCAAAATCAGAAAGAAACGCGATTACGGTATTACGCAAGAGGGTAGTTCGTTTCGGTGGCGAGACGACGAGACAGAAGACGAGCTGAGCAGACAGATCAGAGCTGCATATAGACATGAAAGGGCCCAGACGCAAATGAATGATCCGAAATGGCCTCTCCAGTGGTACCTGAATCGCGGTGGCGGCCTCGACATGAACGTCGAGAAAGCGTGGAGTGAGTTCAACGTCAGCGGGAAAGGCGTCGTTGTCACAATTTTAGATGATGGTCTGGAGAAAGATCATCCTGACATCGCATCGAACTACGATGCCCTAGCCAGCTTCGACATGAACGATCACGATCCAGACCCTCAGCCGCGGTATGAAGTAAACGATTCGAATCGTCACGGTACGCGGTGCGCTGGTGAAGTTGCCGGCCTGCGCGACAACCAGGTCTGCGGCGTTGGGATAGCGTATAAAGCGTCGATCGGTGGAATCCGAATGCTCGATGGCGATGTGACAGATGCCGTGGAGGCTAGATCCTTGGCATTGAACCCTCAACACATCCACGTGTATTCCGCTTCGTGGGGTCCCGACGATGACGCACGTACAGTCGACGGTCCAGGCCAACTCGCTGATAAAGCACTTAAAGATGGCATACGGAACGGCCGTCGCGGCTTAGGCAGCATATTTGTGTGGGCGTCCGGTAATGGCGGCAAGGAGAAAGACAACTGTAACTGTGATGGATACGTGAATTCAATCTTCACGCTAGCCGTGTCGGCTGCGACCGAGAACGGAAACGTGCCGTGGTACTCGGAAAGCTGCGCGGCGACTTTGGCCACTACTTACTCATCGGGGAACTACAATGAAGGTCAAATCGTAACCTCTGATCTCCATCATAACTGTACAGAGCGACACACCGGAACGTCGGCTTCGGCGCCTCTGGCCGCGGGAATCGTAGCCCTGGCCCTCGAAGCGAATCCGCAACTCACATGGCGGGACATGCAGCATTTAGCGGTGCGCGCCACCAGGCGGGCGAACCTAAACGCCCCGGATTGGGTGACGAATGGGGTGGGCAGAAATGTTTCGCACTCGTTCGGCTTCGGATTGTTAGACGCTCACAAAATGGTGGAACTTTCCAAGAAATGGAAACGCTCCCCGCCGCAGAAAGTCTGCACGGTGAGCCCTCCCAGGAGCGACAAGCCCATTCCTCCGAAGAGCACGCTGCTGTTACATCTGTTCGTGGAATGTAAGAATGTCAAATACGTCGAGCATACGATTTCTAAGATCACACTGCAAGCGATGCGCCGAGGTGACATTCATATCTATCTCTCGTCACCTTCCGGTACGAAGAGTACACTGCTCACGCAGAGACCGAGAGATGACTCTCGACAAGGCTTCAATCAATGGCCCTTCATGACGGTGCATAATTGGGGAGAGAACCCAAACGGAAATTGGACCCTGGAGATCCACAACGACGCTTCTTATCTGGGCAAGGCGCTCCTCAAAGAATGGGCATTATCGATGTTCGGAACAGCGGAGGACCCCGATGCGCAGTTCCGGACGGATTTCCCCGATAAACCCGCCGGGGAGGCGGAACCCAGCAACGATCTAGGCGATCTCGAGCCTCCTTCAGGAGTGCGCAGCGCTGGCGTCAGAGACCCGATTGACAGCGACACGGTGCTGAACTCGCGCAGTTCGGTTAGCATGTCCTCTTCAGCAGGCCCTCCACCCCCCGGTTGGGCGGAGCCGTTCGTTGCAGCGGTCTATTGTTCATAGTGATACTTTGCCTTCTACTCGCCCTTTGTACATCGAGTCTGCTGGGAGTTAGTGGCGCCTGTCGGTCAGACCGCGCCGAGTTTGAATATTCATGTTTACAATAAATATCGTTATGACGACTCCCTTCCTACCGGGTCGTCGAGTAGACAACACGTGCCCGTTTTCCCTTTGTATCTCATCTCACCCCAGGACCTAACAATTGGCGCAGTCGACTTCTGTTACTTCGGACACCACCATGCCTCAAGTCACTTTGCCGGGGATCCTCGAAAACCTCACGAAGATTCTGGAGAAATTGTCCACGTCATCGGCTTCGGAGACAATCTCTTCGACCGCTCTGTCGAATGCCACGTCGTTGGTGGGTACATTTTCGTATCAGCCTGACGCGGACAATACCTTCCCAGAATGGTACAATCGGAACAAAGGCATCCTCGAGGAATGTGTGGAGAGTCCGACCCTGAGGGCAAAGGTTCTTCTCAAAGCTTTGGAGACAGAATAATATAACCGTCTTCGCTGCCACGTGTCCCCAAGTAAGCCTGAAGATAAAACGTTCGACGAGTTGCTCGTCATCCTCAACTGACTGTTCGGACCCTCGAAGTCTCTCTTCCGACGGAGGCACGACATTCTGAACATCCGTGCGACGTCAGGCACCAAAGCCGAGGAAACTCTCACCCTGGGCAATCTGAAGGGCGACGAATTTGAGATTGGGAACCTGACCTCGGATCAGTTCAAGATTTTTCTGGCTCTTCTAATGGCCTCTGGTTCCTCGTTCAATCATTTCCGCTCCGTATTGCTCACTCAGAGCAGTGGACGAAAGACCGCAAATAACCATTGCTGAACCCCAAGAAGTCGTGAAGCGGTACGTCACCCGTGTCGAAGACGCCGCCATCGGGCTGGATGGTGCTCCTCGGGATTCTTCGACGACGATCAACCGCATGCAGCAGTCGTCACACGCCAAGGGTCGTTTCTCTCATCAGAATCACGATCAACAGCTCCCTGTGCTCAAAGGTAAGCAACGGAAAGCACGTTCGATCGAAATGTCCTTTCTTGAAAGCCAGGTGCGGGAATCGCCGTCGGATGGGTCACATCCAGAAACTGTCGAAAGCAAATCCTGACCAGATGAATTCGATTGAATTCTCCACTCTGTGCTCGGAAAATGAAGCTTTCCGTGCGTTCGCAACTCTGCTCGTATCTGGGGAACCTGTTCGATTCCGCATAGACAGTGGCGCGGACGTCACCGTGATTGGACAACCCACTTGGAGAAAGCTAGGCTCTCCCGAAATACGGCCGGTGACATCAAGATGCTTTGCAGCGGATGGTCGCTCCGTCGAGGTGAAAGGCTTCTTCATCGCCACGTTGGCTACAATACCTAGTTCCGGAAAGGAGACGAGCACACGTGTAGAAGATCGCATCGTCGTTTTCGCGACCGAAACCGGGGATCTACTGAGTGAGTGGAAATGTCCCTTATGCGCTGGATCTCCTCTCTACGTCTCCGTCCGTGGAACTTGCTCAGGTCAACCTCAACACGGAGGGCCTCAAAAGCCAATTCCCGAAACTCTTAGAGACGTCTCTCGGTCTCTGCACGAAGACAGAGGTTGAACTCCTTTTGAAGCCGGATGCGTCTCCCGTTTGCTTGCCAGCTCGTCCTCTGGTGATGCCGGTCCGAGAACTCGTGGATCAAGAGCTAGACCGCTTAGTCAACAACGGTACACTCTGTCGCGTCGATTCTTCGGATTGGGCCGCACCGATCGTGGTAGTCCGCAAAGCCAATGGCCAAATTCGCATGTGCGCGGATTATTCTACAGGACTAAACGAAGCTCTACAGGACGTTGACTATCCACTGCCCAATATGGAAGAGATCATGGCGAAATTCAGCGGCAACACAGTCTTCACGCAACTGGATCTAGCCGACGCTTATCTTCAACTTCCCCTCTGCACTGCCAGCCGGGTACTCACCACGATCAATACTCATCGCGGGTTGTTCCAGTACCACCGCTTAGTTTTCGGTCTAAAGACAGCCCCGGCATCTTTCAACGCACAATCGAACAGACC